ATGGCTGAAACTAAGCAGAGTTGAGTTTATTCTCTCTTCCACCACTAAATCCTAAATACAGGATGAGTCCAAAGTAAAAAGAGGGTCTTATATTTCACAGACTAAAGAGAAAATGACACATCTGAACACCCCAGCATTTCAGGCTATCTCCAGAACATGGCGGCCATCTTGAAAGCCGCCATATTGGCCAGTTAGCTCTGACCTGAACAGGCCAGGTCCTAATTCATGCAGAGAGTTTAACCCAAAAGTATCATTATAAAGGGGAATTGTTAGAATTGGGCTATAATTACTCACTTTAGCATAGTATGCTACAACTTCATCCATGTAAATGACTCATTGTCGTATTCCTTTTTAGATTCATATTATTCCCTTTATAATTATGTCATATTTGTACTCTTGATCTACTCTGGTTTATTCTCAGGCTTCAAACTAAAGAATAAAACTAACAGAATAACATAAATCTAAAAAGGAATAAGACAATGAGTCATTTACATGGACTAAGTTATAACATACTATGCTAAAGTCAGTAATTATAGCCCAATTCTAACTTACGGAACATCAAAGAAGAGCAGAACTTCCTTAAAAACAAGTCAGATTTTAAAAATCTGCACTGGTTTCGACGTTATCAATCAAAAACGTCACACAATAAAAAAAAAAAATCTCCATTATTAGTCCCCCTGTTTGATCACAGTTTGAAACTCTTCTTAAGACCCACCTCTTTTATTTTGCTTTTGACACCATGGAGGGTGTTGATTTTATGTATACTCATGCAAAAAAATTTTTTTTTACATTTAGCTGAATTTCTTCTGTGTTATTTATTTTTCTGGATACGTTTTTGTGCAGCACTTTGGAAAACCCTGTGTTTGTTTAAATCGTGCTATGTAAATAAAGGTGGATTGGATTGGATTGGATCCTGGATTCATTCAGTGGTTTGACTTTCAAATTGAAGCCAGAATGTGACAGCACCTCTGGTTTTCCTCTCCACGTCTCTGGTGGAAAGATGAAAGCTCTCTCTTTTTGTTTCTGTTCCCGACCCAAACTCGGTGATCAATACCCGGCCGGAGCCCAATCAAACGCTCCCCCCCAGACATGGAGCTCGTTTCAAAGCTCCTGGATCCAGGCCTTTTAACCCATGCCCGGGAGTAGAGTCCCGGATTAATAATAAATAAATTAATTAATCCACCAGGATACTGGGAGCGTCAGATTTCGGGCTGTTTACATGAACTCATCTCCCACATCTCCCTCCCGCCGTTGTTCTTCTTTTCAGAGTTTTCTTTTTGTTGATTCCCTCTTTATTTTGCATGTATTTGATATAAAAACTTCATTTTCCAACCTATCCTACCCCCCCGGAGCTGAGTGCACGACCCAAACTAACCCAATCCAACCCAAAATGGACCCAAACCGGTCCAAAACTGGCGAGTACTAACCCAAAATGACCCAAACCGGTCCAAAACTGACCAGAACTAACCCAAAACAGACCCAAACCGGTCCAAAACTGGCCAGAACTAACCCAAAACGGATCAAAACCAACCCAAAAGCGACCCAAACCGGTCCAAAACTGACCAAAACTAACCCAAAACAGACCCAAACCGGTCCAAAACTGACCAAAACTAACCCAAAACAGACCCAAACCGGTCCAAAACTGACCAGAACTAACCCAAAACAGACCCAAACCGGTCCAAAACTGGCCAGAACTAACCCAAAACGGATCAAAACCAACCCAAAAGCGACCCAAACCGGTCCAAAACTGACCAGAACTAACCCAAAACGGATCCAAACCGGTCCAAAACTGACCAGAACTAACCCAAAACAGACCTAAACCGGTCCAAAACTGACCAGTAGTAACCCAAAACGGATCCAAACCAACCCAAAAACGACCCAAACCGGTCCAAAACTAGCCAGAACTAACCCAAAACAGACCTAAACCGGTCCAAAACTGGCCAGTAGTAACCCAAAACAGACCTAAACCGGTCCAAAGCTGACCAGAACTAACCCAAAAAGGACCCAAACCGGTCTAAAACTGACCAGAACTAACCCAAAACAGACCTTAACCGGTCCAAAACTGGCCAGTAGTAACCCAAAAAGGAGCCAAACTGGTCTAAAATTGTCCCAAACCCAAAGAGAGACCCAGAGAGATGTTTTAGTCTGTCAGAGTCCAGCTGATAAACTTAACTGTGACCCAATAAATTTAATTTAGTTTGCAGTTTAGACGCTGCATTTTCCAACACATATTCCCCTTACTTTTTGTTTTATTGGGTGATATAGAGAGAATAAAGGCTCTCTCTCCTCAAATTCAGGCAATAAATTTGAGATTTGTGACTGTTTATATGTCTTATATGTGGAGGAAAGATGTCAGCGGCCATTTTAAATCTGGACCTCCATCTTTGGGAATATTTAAAAAGAGTACATTTATTTATTTATCTCTCATTGATCAAAATAATTGAGATTCTACTATAGATGCAGCTGCGTGAATTCGCATGACTAAAAATCTGGTTTTAAAGGGAAAAAAGAGCAAATCAGAACTCCGTCTGCAGCGTTTTTGATCAGCATCACAAACATTTTTTTAAATTTATTTATACTTTTGTCGAAGTTTTTCGTACCATCCGACACAGAAATGAGGGAATGTACGGATTCAGATTGAATTCAGCTCTGAATGCTACAGATTCGACCCAAAAAAGATCTAAACTGAGGCTAAACCAGGCTCTGGTTCACATTCTGTTCATGCATCTCGTTTGGACTTTTCAGGGTTGGAGGCAAAACCAAAGCAGCTGTA